GGCATCAACATATCCCAGGCCGTTGCCCTGCTGGTACTTAAATCTGGAGTGTTGTAGAAGATCCCTCCTATAGTGTTTCCTGTGTATATAGTCTAAATCGATGTCCACCATGGCACTTCGCAACCCTTCCAAGAGATACCTTTTGAATACTTCTAGTCGGAATGGGAACTCTAACAAAATGGGTCTAAGCCTGTCTGAGGCGAGGCCCTAGACCCGTGGGCATATTCCCCCCTAAAAAGCATCAGCAAATTGCTGCACGACCATGGATGGCCTATGTGCTTCCTGAGGTGTGTACATTTCAGTAGAATGCCTTCTGACTGTCAGGGTTAGCAGGCAAGTGACCTGAAGGGCAGATACATGAACAGAAAAAAATCAGCACACCGCTTCAACCCTTGCTCTCCCAAAATGGGGAATTCACGATTACATTAATGTTCTCAGTTCCCCAGATTTCGGCTAATTCCTCAAAACTGGATGTATTTTGTCCAAAGCCTCGTCTCTCTTAAGAAAGGACACTGAAAAGGAAAGCGCGCTTTTGATAATTCCCCCTTGGACCTCTCAATGCAACGAGGCTCGAAGGAACCAGGGTCCGTGAGCTCCAAGACGTCGGTCCAACCATCCCAAGTGACTGCCATTCGAGTCCTGCGGGCAACGAATTTCAAAGTGGGTAAGATCTTATGGTTGAAGAGGGAATGGTGGAGGGACTATAAATACAATTTGGGAAACATCATCGATCGTGTCAAGGGATCCGGTGAAGCAAGGGGTTGGGCCTAGTAGCCTCAAATGTTGTCTTCAAACGGCCTTCCATCCAAAACTCGCATTCCATCCCTAATGCAGTAATGTCCCAAAAGCGTGAATTTAAAACCCAAAGCTTCCCTAATCCTGAACGCTAATGAGAACATCAACCCCAAACCTGAACCCTCTGGGCATGCCGCCTTTTTTTTTCACTGGGCATAGTGCCCTCTGGGCACGTCGTCTTTTTTTTTGAACTGGGCACGACGCCCTTTGCATTGAACCCAAAACCCTAAGCAATCTCCTGGGACCTGCTTGTAGAAGCTCCCACTCTCCCCAACCCCACGTCGTTCCTCGGGGGCTGTTGTCCACCCATGGGCCCTATCTATTTCCAGGGTCCTAACTATGGACCCCTATTTGGGCTTGTTGATCCTTCGAAGCTGAGTGGTAGTTACACCTTAGGTTTTGGTGGGATTTGGTGGGATTTGGGCTTTAGGCTTGAGGGGGACTTGGAACTCTGGATAAGGTGTTTAGGACTCAAGCTGCGTTGGGTTTTAGTGTTTCTTGGGTTGTTGAATCTAGGGCCTGCGGCTGCAAGTTTAGGGCTTAGGGTTTGGGAACCCCAAAGATTCATACATGACGTTGCCGCCGTACAAGGACGGTGTGCTTCTTTTGGCAGCGCCATGTTTCAAACCCCTCGAGGGATTCTGGTTTAGGATTACAAGAATTTGGGAACCAGTGCTTCATGAACTCTAGCCCTTAAGTCTTAGGCAACCAGGAGGTTTACTAATTCTCTGAAGGCCCTGAAGACTCTCTTCTGCCTGACTGCAGGGCTTATTCAAGGAAGTAGTTGTTACTCCTACTACATAAAGTAGGAATGTGTTCCTGCAGTAGCCCCTGTGTAATCTGCAACCGCCATAGTTTAGCAGCTTCAATTTTCCAATCCTGAACAACCAGCCAGAAAGCTGGACCTTAAACCTCTTTCTCTCCCTTTAAACCCCTGCGTATCCACGCCCTTTTTATTTTCCTTTGCCAGGATTATACCTAAGGAACCTGGGAATCAGGATGGCCTGCTAGACCTGACAACCCCTTAATCCACCCCTATTTGGGTCCTACAACTAAAGTGTAGGGTCTAGTAGCCCGTCCTGAAAGAGACGAGACTTCACACTTCAGAGTTCAGAGCGGAAACGAATCTCAAGGATAACCATCTGAGCTGTGTCTATCTCCTAGCATGCCCCTTAATATCCCCTATAATACTCCCCTATATAACCCCCTATATAGACTATATAGCTCATGTAAGACTGGCTGTTGAAGGGCATGAGATGAAGTTCTAAATCGTCAGGCTGACCGGACTGGATCCAGAACGACGAAGGGCATGCATGTATGCTTTTAACATCTCTAACCCGTCCTCGAACCTTAGTTCCAAGGGGCCGCTATGATTATCGAGTAAATTGAGGACGACCCCTTCGAATCCCCAACAGAATTCAAAAATGAAGCCGGCGAAACAATAGATGGGTGCTGCACTCAGACAGCAGGACTGCTGTTGTGGGGATCGAGACTGGGGAAAGTAGGAGGTTGCCTTAGGGAATAATGGAACAGACAAAGGAAACTATTATAATATAGGGGTAAAATATAGGGAATATATCAGGATAATGGAAAAGAAAATGGAAACACTTTTTGGATGCTGGGGAATTCAAGCTGAAGGTTCGGAGGTGCCCCTTGCTGCGGAACTCAATTCGACCGTGTTCAGACCTTGGTTGCAGGGTTTTGCAGGAAGCCCAAGAATTATCCCGAAATGAAGGAAAACACCTTGAATCACAGTAGGCCATTAGGCATCCCGGCGCCATTTAGGGTAGATTCAATATTCACTACTCAAGGTATTCTGGGCCCTGAAACCCACAGGTTGCGTGGCGTAAGGTGAACGCCAGCCCGGGTTTGTTGTTGGCCCTGGGAGAACAGAATTGCTTACAATCAAGATGTCAAATGCGTGGTGTTCTTCTAGCAGACTTGGGTCCAGGGTGTACCGCCTAGGGGCAAATGGGCATTCAAGGGCTGCGAGCTCTGCAGCCCTCTGTCAACTTAGACGTTGTTGTACGTTTCCTGCAACCAAAGAGCAACAAATTGATTATTCGTGATAATGCCATAAGGCATTTTAAGGTTCTGCTGGCTACACGGCACAGAGGGATCCAGACAAATTATGGAAACTTGGTGCCCAAAGGGCATTCTTTAAGCCAGTTCACCATGAAACTCTGGACCCAAGCGAGCCCCCCGCCCCTGAAAATGCAAGTGCCCAGACAATATTTAAGTTGCGCCCAAACGTCAAACACATCCATATGGCATTTTCCCAAAATAGGGGGACCCCGATATAGAGGCCAAAATACTATAATCCCTTAAGGGGGCCCCCAAAAGGTACCCCCAATTTTGGGGAGATCCCCATGAAGGGGCCCGGGTCGTATCCTGTTTCTGTCCTTGGAACCTTTTAGGGTGTAGGCAGAATCCCTGGAGGCCCTGATCAGCATGCTGTTACGTTGGGACCTAAGAGTACGATGGAGTCCGTTCATATCCAGTTCGGAACTAACATGGGCCAAAGTCTAAACGCATGGTATCCCCTCAATAACCCCTATAGTAGTCCCCTATATACTCCCCTAGATAACCGCCCTTTAAGGAGTTTTGACTGTAGCTCACATGGAAACTGCAAAGGGGTGCATGGTAGACTTCGGTCCCCGAGTAGCACTTGCTAAGCCCTGGGTGAACCCCCCAGTAATAGTGACTATAAGGGATTTCCTAACATATTACTACTACAGGGTGGGGGTCTACCTAAGCTAAACCTTGCCAATCCTGAGCCCTGAGCTCCGCCCCCTATCAAAGACGAGATGCGCTCCGCCATTCGCAGAATAGCTCCAGCAGCGCCGGCCCGATTCATTCCAGTCGGAGAGCTCCTCCAGCTACATGTCTCCGACATGTCAAGATGTTGTAGATTATGTCAATGTGGAGGTTTCGTAAGTAGGGGCCTCAATATGGATCCCGCTATACTATCATCCTTATTACAGGGACGTCCCCGCAAAAGGCCCCTAACACCTAGAAACACTATGCAGAACTTTGCAGGTTCGCTTTGCTTTTAGAACCTCATGCCGTAGTCGCAAATTGCGTACAACAGAAACAATCGCGATCAAGGGGCCCTGTAAAGGTACACAGGAGGAGCTTGCATTACTCTAGTCACGAATTTCCCTAAACCACTCTCCATGGAATGCTGCACGATGTCTTGCGGGCCATGGAGGGATCTTCTCAAAGGCCCTTGGCTGCTTCATAACATTGCATCATGGCAGCTGCTCTTACCCAGACCCCCTAAAGGATCCAAAAACTGGAGCCCCCCCAATATGAACCCATTGCTACATTGGGGAAACTAGGGGATTATTAGGGCGTGCCATTTTTTGGATCCTTTAGGGGGTCTGGGTAGCTAAGTAGGGTCGGGAGTTGAAGCTGCTAAAATGAAGTCCAACTTGGAGGGTCAAGGGGACTTAGTAAATTGGTTAATAGTTAGGATAGTGTTAGGATCACTAGGGATACTCTATGGGCATATATGGGTTATAGGGGTAAGTAACCTACTAAGTCCCCCTGACCCTCCAAGCAGGACACCTTTGCGGAACTTGAGGCCAATCCTCCTCTGTAGCCATGGGAGGAGTGTTCTCATCTACGGGCGGCAAGCCCTTCGGTCCCGCCAGCTGATTAGAGGAATCTGCAATTTTACCTCAGCCAGGCAGGCAGCAACCTGAGGTGTTCTCAAAAACGGCTGGCCGGCCGGCACTTGGGGATACGGGGATTGCCAAAAGGATTCAGTCATGGTGGGTACCTTTTCGGGATCATGTATTTTGGAGGAACTCTCACTTGTCGAAGGTAGGAGCTCTTGCAACGCAGTCATGCTGATGGCTCCCATTTGAAGGTACTAGGCATCAGAAAGACCTCTTTGTAACATTGGCAGCCAGTGAAATTGAGGCATCTTGAAATTATAGGACTCTTACCCAGTAAACTGCAGCATCTGCACTCAGCTACCCTCCCTTGATGCAATAAGAAGGGCTAAAGAATGGACCCTCCAGCTGGTGTAGCCCTCTTTCCACAAAAACTGTTTGACATGAATAACCAAACAAACCAGAAAGGCATGCATCTGGAAAGCATGAACCAACGACGGAACGAACTACAAGTCTTCCCCGATGACATCAACAGACTATTTAGGCCAAAAAAGTGTTTCTGATACCAAGGTCAGCAGGAGCTACAGAGCTCCATTGGCACTTCCTGGTGGCAGGCATCCAGCACTTCCGTCAATTCACGAGCCAAAAAAGCATTCCAGGACTCGGGCACAAACAGAGACACGGCGCACCCTGGTTGACCATTGCGCCCTGTGCGACCCACTCGATGAACATATGTTTCCTGGCTGCGTCAGATCAAGTAGACACGAGAACCTGGACCTTCGAAATATCCATACTAATGGACTTTATATACCCCCACCCTATTTGGGGATTCAGGGTTGTCATAACAGATATGCTTAACACCAGATGTACTGAACCGCAAGAGGCGGAAGATCACCTAAGAAGCTTGCCAAGGAAGAAGTAAGCTTCAATGTCGGACGGGAAGTCGTAAACGAAGACCAGATTGACGTCGGGAATGTCCACGCCACGGCCAAGAACATCTGTGGTGATCAGAACTCCTTAGATGGCCGATACCTATAGGGCTGTTGGATTGTTAGCTTTTTGGTTTGTATTTCGTTCGGCACCGCATACACTCTAAGCCCTCAGCGTTTGACCTTGAACCCTAAGCCCTTGACCATAAACCCTGGGCCCCAAATCCAAAACCCTACAACTCCAGCGCTAAACTCCAAACTTCTTAATCCCATAACCAGGCAAAACTCGGATGTAGCTTGCGCGAAACTGTTTCAGGGTCGCCTCGCGCTGCTCCTGTCTGCGAGCCCCGTGCATGACGCCGCAGGCCCTCGGTTCTCTCAGGAGCTTGGATTTTGGAGTTGGGGTAGCTTTTGTTTTGGGATTCCAAGCTTAGGATTTTGTTGCAATTGCGGCCTAAACCCTCAACCTTAACGTGCATGAAAAGTCCAGCCTGAGACCCTCAACGTGCCAAACCTAAAGCCGCGGTTTAGAGTTTCGGATTTAGGGCTTAGGGCTTAGGGTTTGGAATTCAGGGGACAGGGTCTATTTGGGATGGCAATGGCAGGTAGATTTACTTTGTTACTAAGTTAGGAATATTACAACATACAGCATTATCTGTACTAGCAACCCTAAACCCTACACTGTCTGTAGTAGTAACTATATATATATATATGCAACCCC